AAAATCGCTTACTAACAATTTGTAATACAAAGTATCTGTAGTCAAAAACAAGTTGCAAACTAATTTCTAGATTTGAACCACGTCATTTTCGAGAAAGATAGATCAAAAGCGAGCTGATTTAAATTCCACGGGATAGGTTACTTAACGTGTTTTAGGCCTAAAGTAAATCTATGGCTTTCTGATTTATTGGCATCTGTTATAAACGATCTTTTGTTAAAGTAGAAAGTCAAGTAACAGGCTATAAATGTCCCACTGCTGGGCAAAGGCGTTATTTGTATAATTATAATCCTTCTTTTAAGTTTTGAAATTTTAATGGAATCAGTTGTTAATAGTTTATGTTTTGTGATCTAAAATTTTATCATCTTTTGGCGCGTTTGTAAAAATTATGGAAGTGAAATTTTTACGATACTCGCGCGCACCGAACCTCAAAAAGCGACATGTTTCTTGGTAATCAACTTAATCTTACCAACCAATAACAACTTATTGACATTCACCAATAACTCCAGGTTATTCAAATAAACAACAACAATAAGTTATCAATTACATTTAATGTATTTACGCTAAAGAAGTATAACTTCTTACGTGAGTACATAATTACGCATATAACATTTATGTATAAATTCTGCGATTCAACTTTTAGATTGGGTTGGCGCGGTCGGGAATGCCTTCTACGCATGCTTTGTGAGACAGGCCGAAGTAGAATTGAACAGGGCACGTTTCTCCAGGAAATCATGAGGGCCACGCTTACGTGAGTGTTTTTATTAGTAGTGTTTTCATATCGTAGGTTTCTTCCATTGTTTTGTATTGTATAAGCGATTTTGGGCCTTGATAACTTCATATTGGGTTTATAGTAATACAAGCTCAGCATATTGGGTCGGTATTATTCGAAGCGTCTCCCGTCGTAAAAAAGTGTAATTCCAGTATTGTGTATTTGGTACACTTTTTATTATTATTTTCTGTAATTATTGTCGAAGTAGGATAACAGTGTTTGGATTGCTAATGTATATTCTTGTAGCCCTAGGCAAATCTTGATAAGATTTTGCTATAGTTATTTTCTTGCTTTGCGTATGCAATGACTTTTATAAAATGTTAAATATTTTTTTTTTATTGCTTCGCCAAATAACACATGTTGATGACGTTGATGATCAATTCAAAATATTTACTTATTGCATTAGTTGTATATTCAATTAGTTAACGGGTTCTAATTTAAACGTAAAATTTTTTGCGTGTTACGATTACAAGCGGGAAACTGGATAATTTGTTGTTATGTGTTAACCACTACTACCATACCGGCTGCAGATGCCTTTGCCTTTTGAAGAGTTGGCCCTGATTGATTCACTATGCGAAACGCTGAACTGTAAAACTTCTACTTCACGCCGCTCTTAAGTGAGGGCCTGTTTCCAGATGTTCTTGATGCCTGATCAGGTTCAGATGCACTGGATGTGCCAGAGCAACAGACCTTCTGCAACGCTAATCATACTTCATTCAAAATACAAATGAAACTAAACAGAACGACTAAGCTTAAAAGAAAAAAAAAAGTAATACGCTTTTACGTTTTGCATATTTTATTTTTGCATGTTTTTATTGAGGTATCATCAAATATATGCAAAAATAAAATTTTAAAACAAAATGTAATTTAAGATAATTAGACATAGAAATTGCTGGCATTAGTAATTAAAGTTTACCTTTTTATTTACTTCATTACTGTCATAATGATAATTAATTTCAGGTTGCCGAAGGGAAGAAAATTTGACACGGAATATCACAATGAATATGATAAAGCACATTTCAGCAATGAAGATTGTGAAAAACTGTACCCAAAATGTGATAAAATATAGTTATTTATGCGACTTCCTTTACTCAAGTCCCCACATTCTTAGAAATTTTATAGATTCTATTTTTAAATATGAGAAAATGAAGTCTTAAAAGTTTTTTCAAAGATAGCTTAACAATATTCACTATAACATCTTAGTTTTATTATATGGTTTAAAAATAAAAAATAAAATTATTTGTTTGAGCGAAAAACATCGAACTTTACAAGCAGATCTACTTCAGTGCAATTTGCAGTAAGTCTGCTTTGAACATTTCACAATTAAATTAAGCTGCAGGAAATTTAATTACAGATTTGCATCAAAGTAGCTAGGTTCGAAGAAGTAGGTGCAAAGAAGAAAATTAACGACATGAAACAAGACTATCACTAATTCGATTACTATAGAAAAAGTATAATAGAATAATTATTAGTAGACATCAAACTTTACACACTTTCCCATACACGGTAAAAAGCCTAAGCATCGACCGCTAACTTTTTTTGATTACCAATTCATCATTCATCATCATCATCAACATTTCAGTCTGTTCGAGTCCACTGCTGAACATTGGCCTTCCCATAGACTGCCACAAAGAACGAGGCGCTCCATTTCTGAGCGTCTTTGGGCTACGGCCAGTAGTGAATGAACATGTCGTTCCGTAGTTCGTCGCTAACAACCCACATTGATTGAAGAATTTTGTCTTTAAACATTGAGGGACATTAAACGCGGAGATGTACCGAAATTTCCCGAACGCTGCCCATCCAAGTCGGATTCGCCGATTTACCTCTGCGTCGAAGTTGTACTTACCTAACTGGACTAGTTAATCATAATATAGTAACATATTAAATTAACAAGCCTATACATGTCCCACTGTTGATCAAAGGCCTACTCGGTACAAGGTTATCAGGGCATAGTCCATCACGTGGCCGCAATGCGGTTTGTCGGACTTCACATAAACTTCGAAATGTTTTTTGTTATTATTTCGAAAATGTACCGGTTTCCTGGCGATGTTTTCCTTCACCGATGAGCATGTGATAAATCAGCATTTAAAATTAACAATTTGATTGTTGTCGGCACCGGGGATCGAACTCAGTTTGCTCGAGTATATTGAATTAAAAGCGAGCGACTGGACAATGAGCGATCACAGCTCTTTTCTAACAGTAATATATGCTTATGAATCGTATAAAAAATTGGTACGGAAAGTTTTTCTGTAACAGACACGGAGTTATTTGCAGTCAGTGCTTTGTTGGTCGCCTGCAGTAAGTAAAGTGCCCCAACTAATAGGAATAAAGCCACTATACATAAACAGTCTGAGATTAGATGTGTAATATTGCTTTGTTCAGAAAACATAACGGTGATGCCTTGGAATGTTTTGTGCCTGCAGTCACTAGACAAAGTTTTATCTGTAATCTCCTCTTGTGTTGTGTGTCTTGTGTCTTTAGTTGAGACTTTAAGGTTTGTCATGAGGACTACCTACGGAGTTTTTTTCGCCTCTTTCTTCTCCGTTAGAGGAACCTCATTACGAAACGGTGTTAGATTTAAAAAAAAATGACTATCGATAAATGAAATGTATATTTCTTATTTCGATGAATAAATGGTTTGAATTTGAATTTGAATTTCACTAGCTATACTAATACCAAAAAAAAATCAATGGTCAGTCAATGAACAAAGGGTCAACAACGAAACAAAGCTCTACTTTAAACTAGTAAAGCATTTGTTTATTGCGTTATGAAGCTGCAAGTATCCGCTGTATGTCTTTTTATTCAGGGGACTGTGTCTCTTCTAGAGGATCATCAATATAAGCAGAAAATATAACGGATGTTGTGTGAGACGCTAATGGCAGGTAAGATTCAAAAAGCAAACCTTTAACCTGATCGCCAACAACTACAAAAGAATTGCAGTAAACTGGTTTCGACAATGTTCAATATAATTAATTGCAACGTTGACAAATATACTTCGATAGATTCTCGCATGATCTTTTTACTAAAATTATATCGTACTCCATTTGAATTGTCGTCCAATTACGCAAATTATGTGTGCTTTTGCTGTGGCGATGAAAAGAAAAATCGTCAAAATCTGATCGAAATAGCATCCTTGTGTTGTACTGCGAAGGGCGGCGGCCGTGATTGCTAAAGAAATTCCACGGAGGTGTGAAACGTGACTGAGCTAATGAGTGGAGGCGGCAGCCTCGCTCTAATACTTTGATCAAACATCCCGGGTCACTGAACAGCGCTTTGCCGCTGACAGCTCCAGACGGTAGTATAAGATGGACAAGCCTTTAATTTGTTTTATTCGTTTACAAATAACAAGATAAAATTCAATTTGAATATTAGTAGTGCTGATTTCTGCAATTATGATAAAACATAAAATTTTGTAGAAAAAATGGATGAAAAGACATTCGCCGCCGCCGTACTAGAATATTATTTTCTACTAGATAACAACAGATGCAATACTTAAAATGCAAAATAAAATTCCGGTTCGATTCCCGTAGCGGCGAATCTCTTTTAGTCCATATTTTTACAAATTTTAAGGTGAAATGTAATTGAATTTTTTTTTTTGTGATTTACTGATTCCCACAACTTACGTTTGTCCAATAAAAGAAAAATATGATGTTTCATAGACTAAATTGCAATTTTGTACTGTCGGAATAAGTACTCTTGAAAGTTTTTGTCAGTATTTTTGCTATTGACACATTTCTTGTAAAAAAAAATTGATGCTTATAATTTACTATGGTTTTATCCGTTTGGCAGTTGATGTAATGTGTAATTTAATATTGTTAAATCATTTTAAAGCACAGAGCATTATCTTAAAACATCGGAAAAAAAAACATATTTATTTAAAAGGTTAAATAGATGTCCATGTCCATTACTACGTTGTTCAAACAGCTCACATTTATTGTTGTCGACTTCAAATTTATTATAATAAATATTTCAACAATCAATGATAACTTGTTAAATAAACATTATCATTTTCTTCAATTAGTAAATTGCTTTGCGTTCGGATTACGCAAGTTAATGTTTATTCAGCGATATTTACCAAACGGCATCCATCCATACAACGTCGTATTCGAAATATTTACAAAGTCAATAATCTCGTATCGCGCAAGACATCCATCGTGCGGACGCTCCGGAAATTTTGTGCGGCATGTTTTAAGCGTCGTCTTTCGTGAAGATCGTTAACGATCGCATAGAAATGTTTAATTGGACATCGTCATTAGTGTTACTTGTTTTGTTATTGGTCGAGTGCGAGCTCAAGGATCCGAGCAATCAGTGTCCCAACGTTAAGGCATCTTTGGGTTCGTTGAGGAAGCGAAGGCATCTAACTTTTCCGGATGGCAGCAACGTTGCTGTGAGTAATATATATTATTTTTTACTTATTTATGTATATGTACGGTAATGTTTCGCGGGCCTGTTAAATTGTAGCTTGGACGTCCCGGGTTGTTAGTTCGATTTTAAAACAGGATGATTTATTTGTAGGGTTTCTGCAATTTCTTATAATTGATTTTCTTATATACTTTTCTTATAAATTATTTGATACGTAATACGCACTAGTATTTACTTAAAAATACTTAATGTGATAAGTGTTTTAAGATTTTTCTATTGACGATTCTTGAGAGGAGTCAATGAAATATTTTAAAATACATTAAACAAACTTTACGTCCAATAATTTCTATATTACCGATTATCCAAATCGGTTAATTCTGAAGTATTTTTTATATTTCTTAATTTGATTTCACTAAAGTTGTATAGTAGTATATAACTATATCATTCAATACAAAATTTCAAGTTCAAAGTATAACTAAGTCGAATTTTGTTCGTAATTCCCAAGTTAACAATATGAACTTTCCACTCGTAGTTATACAAGTGATGCTAAAGTTTCTTGGAGTTACTCAACTTTTTTGTATCTATTAACTGATGATCTGTGAATTAATTTTGTCCCTTTTTCATCCTGCAAAATTTTACTTCAAATAATATTGCATGTTGGTTTTGGTTCATTTAGTTTCAATTAAACAATTTTTTATCTAAAAAAATTAATATCAGATTGAGGCACTTCTAAGTGTTGCACTTCTGCGTTTCGTCTGGATCACATTATTAAGGGGTGGCAACGCATCTGGGTGGCAACGCATCTGCAACCTTACGAGTGTTGCAAATGTCCATGGGCAGGCGGTTATCACTTAACATCAGGTGAACCGCCAGCTCGTTTGCCTCTTCCTCGCATAAGAAAAAAATGACGAGATAATATATTCGTATTGGTATCATTATATTTATGTTTCTGTTGCAGCTCACCATATCACTCGTAAAGGCTTTTATGACACACGCGCCATCAGGGTGGAATATTGCCATAGAAATAGACGTACTGTATCCACTACCGAATTCTAACTTTACAAATGCACATTTTAGAAGAAAAATTCATCATAGGCAGAAGAGGGAGTTCTGGGATAGGATGCAGACGGCGATGGACTTGTAAGTTTACTATTAATCATTGATTTTTAAAGGCAAAGTACCCGGAGGACCGAGCTTTGCTCGGTTTTGTTTTTTTTTTGGTAAATCGTGTATTTTGGAAATTACATTTAGATACAAACAACTTAGTAATGAAATATGCATAATATTTTTCGATCTTACAGACGTAATAATAAGAAAATACGAACTGATGTTTTTCACAAAAGAAAGAATTAAAAAAAAAAAAAGGAAAAAAATTACAAAATAACAAATCGACAAAAAATTAAAAATAAAAAAAGCAATGATCTGGAATCGAAAAAAAAGTTAAAAAATAAACGTGTAAATGATCGTGACGCGAACCACGGCCGTCTGTTTTGGGGCCGCCCGATTACCGACCGAGCTATTATGACATTTTCTCTTGTGGGGAAATTTACCGTCATATTCGAATTATATTTTTCATTCCCTGAAAACAGGGATAAAAGGACATTTTCTAAAAATGAAACCTAGCTAGATCGATTTTTCGCCCCCGAATCCATGCACATACTAAATTTCATGAAAATCGCTGGAGCCGTTTCCGAGATTCCGATTACATATATACAAGAATTGCTCGTTTAAAGGATAAGATAAGACATTTCTTAAATAAAAACTGTCACTCAACCACTCTTCTACGAGAGTTCGAGGTAGTCATAGTAAACTAAAGCTTCCTTAAACTATATCAGCAAACTGACTAATCTTACTAAACTTACTAATGTAGTAAGGAAAGTTTGTATGTATGTATGGATGTTTGTTACTCTTTCACACAAAAACTACTGAATGGATTTTAATGAAAGTTTACAATAATATAGCTTATACATCAGAATAAGACAGAGGCTATAATTTATATACATATTTTATGTATATCTGTCTTTCTGTCTGAATGTGTCGTCTTCAGCCTATTCTACGCAGACGTAGTCGCGGGCAGCATCTAGTATACCATAAGAGAGAAGTGGAGATGAATTATACCTACATATACTAAGTCTACACTCAAACTCGAAGGCAATAACGATCACCATGTCAAGACTGTAGACTGCCACGCGTAAGAATAAGAGCAGTAGAAGTTATAAGTATTCATGCAAGAACAGACAGACAGACTTTACTATAAATAAATAATAGATAAAGTTAAAAACAAACCAGTTAAGCTTAATGTGTGATTTATATGAAAATGGAGCTTAAGATTAACAACTGATTCGATTTTCTATTCTTTTTTTTTTGCTTAATCCATGTTTGTTTTTGTTACATTCCTTGCATTTTTAACTATTCACAAATTTATTTTGAAGAACTTGTGATTTTACTTTTAATTTTTTAAATAGAGTAGGTTAACGATATTATCATAAGTACGTATGCTGTACATATAATTTTCAACACTTTCAGACATAACTTAAATGGCCGCGCTTGCGTGTTAAGGAGTATTTGCGAGGCCGAAACGTATCTAGCGCCACCCGGCAAGTCGCTAGTGCACGATATATTGAAAGCACTATTCAAGTGAGTGAAACATTTCTATATAGCCATCATCAAAAGTTAAGAGAATCCTAATCAACACTGCGGGATAATCTCCGTCTTCCGGAAAACTCACGAACGCTCACATTCTCTAAGTACCGCCATCTCAATATGTTACCATATAGATAAGCATTCCATAGCGGAGATAAAAAATAACGCCTTGGAAACAAATTTGATGACTCCGTGGCACAGTTGTCAAGGTTTTTCCTTGGGCGCCCGGGTGGCAAACAAAACCCAAGACGGGTTCAATCCCCACCCGGGGCAACTATTTTTGTGACCCACAGATAATTGATTCGGACCTGGGTAAGAATTGAGAATAAACTAAGAAACTATTAGTAATAATACAAGTATTTGCGTGTTACTGATAAACTCTGACACTGAACACATGCATAGGTCTCTACTAAATACATGAACATTTTTTGCGACTTTTTTTAGTCTGTTCACCTCATGTTAATTGGTGGCCACCGCGTATGTACATACATCTTCGACACCGGTGTGTTTGGAGATGAATTTAGAAGAGTAGGCTTCGGTTACCTCACTTACCAGAAAAAAAGCAAAAGTCTAGTAATGCCACCTGATACCAGCTTTCTGTGAGGCTTGGCATTACTCCGGATGAGCCTGGAAATTCGTAATATAAAATCAAGGAAAATTCTCGCTTTCAAGCTTTAATGGCCAATTCAGGTAATTTTGTCTGTGGTGAAATTTTATGTGTTAATAAACATAAATCAATTCAAGATTTTGGTATAGGTAATTAATTGGTTATAATAATCTTGATCATACTGGTGATTATGTAAGCAAGCACCGCAATGGATAATACGTTGTACTGTAACTATCGTTTCTGTTTTACATTCTAATCTTTATCGGGTTAATTGCCTTATAATCCCCGTACGTGTCTTTTATCTGCACGTGATTGGATTTAAATAAATTCCAGTAGGAGAACTTGAGAAGTTTGAACAAAATAGAGCTTGTCTCGCATGTAATAAGGTCCGTATTCCCTTTTAGCCCATCTTGGCGGGTTGTGTTGTATACACAACACAAAACTTACATAGAAATTCCGATAAAATTAATTAGCTTAGTACTGGAATGAACGCAGTGGTGATCTGGTACTTTAGGAAGCTGACTCGCAACCGGAGGTTGTGGGATTGAATACTCGGTATTCTGCAAGAAGTTTCTCATGTTTAGGATCCAATAATCATCAAGCCTAATATCTTGCGTGCATTTTATTTTATTTTTTGAAGTTACTTCCTTTGGCGCGTTTAGTAAAATTATGAGAATAAATATTTTACGATGCACGGCACTCCGACCCTCAAAAAGCGACATGTTGCTGGTAACCAATTGAATCTGTTATGACTAAATAATAACTCAATATTGCATAACAATAATACTTATCTTTTCCAGCAGAGCAACGGCCTTAATTTACCCAATAACCAGTAACCAAAAACTAATTGGCGTACGTCATAAGATTTGAATTTATACTCCTCAAAACAAATAAAACCACCCCTCACTGTAGGGTGTGGGAAATATCACGACGCAATAGGTGTCAAACCAACAACTTTTAAATAAATACATACAATAAACTGTACTATACTAACAAACTATTAATTAGATTAAATATGTACAATAATTATGACAAGTAGGCATTCAGTGTCCAACATTCCAGCCACAAACCTATGGCGGCATTCGAAAGCACACGTAGACGTAGAAAATGGTGCATAGAGGGTCCCCGGCGCAATGTATCATGGCGGCCGTTCACGGACACCCACTAGCGTCGGATTCATTGTGGGAATGTTATCCGTTTGATTTACGGGGGGCTAGTTTGGAGGCCGCTTCGAGAGTCACATAAAATAACCAGAAGCATGCAGTGCAGAAGATTGTTTGGATGGATTATTTTCCATTTACCACTCGGTGTATGTACCACCAGTAGTTGGAAAACTTCTTTTTTAACAAATAGTTAGTACACATAGTGCTCCGTAGATATAAACGTATAAAACTCCAGCTGCTAAATAGCCTTCTAACGTATGGTACTGTGTTTGTGACAGTAATAGTCTTTTTGATTGAATTGTGGTGACGTGCAATGCACGGTGTAATTTAGTAATTGTTGACTTGATATTTTAATTTGATTTGATTATTATTATTATTATTTAAAAATGAGAACTGAGGAGCGAGTGTTTCTTCTGATAATGAGAGGAATACCGCTCATGGAAATTCACATAAGAAATGTCGTAGGCGTGACAGACACTTTCTGTGCTACGGTTTCCACAATCACCGGACGAAACATATGTAGTATGTATTTTTTCACTTAACGGCGTCTACTGTGATGGCTGCGGTACTGCCCGCTTGAGCTGGCCTTTGTGTGTCATTGTGTGGTGTTGCTGGTCCACCATTAAGGTGTGGTGGAGCCAGTTAATTCGCATTTATACGCATGGATATTTCAGGGGAGTACCACGGTTTCATAATCCTTAATCCTTACTAATATTATAAAGACGTAAGTTTGAATGTATGAATGGATGTTGTTACTCTTCCACGCCAATACTACTGAATGGATTTTAATGAAACTTTACAATAATATAGATTATACATCAGAATAAAACATAGGCTATAATTTATATACATATTTTATGTATATCTGTCTTTCCATCTGCATGTTCCGCCTTCAGCCTATTCTACGCAGGCGTAGTCGCGGGCAGCAGCTAGTATGTACATATACTACTAAACGGTTACTGTATTGTCGTGGTACTCCTGCGAACGTAACTGCCCATTCGTGCGCGACGATTAACGTTCATCAACTTTTCGGTAACCGACAAAGAGCTATACCAAATTATAACAATGATTTATACCAAAGAAATAAATTTTCTAACGGGATTTATAACAACGCTTCTACAATCACTACGATGTCAAGTAAAAAAAAAAATTGTTTTATAAAAATACCGTATTTTCTTATAAATTTTCCAGCCAGACGATCTTAGACGTTTCGCTAGAACAAAATTGGTCTTGTTACATATGTATATGTTTTTATCCCACAAGTGTAGTGTGCTTATGTTCATCTCAAAAGAATCTTCAATTGTCCCTTGTAAGAGGATTTGCAAGGACTAGCTGAGCTGCTTTGCGTGTGGACCTTACTGATTCCTTTGGATATCATTCGCAGATATTTTCTCGCGAAACTTTTCTTTTCAGGTCCTACTGTTATTCTATTTTTAGCCTACTCAAAAGAGTGAGGAGCGAAGCGTTTTTGCTTTTTTTATTTGAACGTAGCGTTAGGTCTCAGGAAAGTATCATTGGGCCCAAGCAGCTTCTAGTCTCCATAAAAAACACAAATTTAATACAATGAGTGGAAATATTTTTACGAAAAGTTTCGACATCGTTTTGGCTTATATTTCCTTCACTCGTCTATTGTATATGTATGTAAATAATGAACGGTATTTTCATATAATTGAACTGTGTAAAGTTTCATCAAATAGTACCTTATGAGGGACTCACTGTTTTCAGGGAAGTTAGTCTGGAGATAGAGAATGTTGTTCATTGGCGCACGTCACCAGGGGCTGATTATTCGGCAATAACAAAATCATTCACAGTGTGTGTTAATTCCAACATAACACACACACACGCACGTACGCACGCACGCACGCACGCACACACACACACATACACATGCATTTACGACAAAGTCAGTAAATCATTCAAAGCGTCTAACTATTCGGTTAGAACCACATAAAATACAATCATCAATTTTCCGTATACGGTCGAGTTCGAAGCAATCGTCTATATTATTTTATTTGTAATCGTATAAATTACACTCCATCGGAACATGACCGACTCTGATTCAAATATTTAATTTTTGTCCCATAAATATTACCATAATATCTAACTCATATATTCTTTAAATCTAATGTCTATTTTAATTCTTTTATCAGCAATTAAGATGAAACAATAAATGACACACCAATCGATCCGCACGTGAATCCGGAAGACGTGGGTTCGATTCCCGCAGCGGCTAAATACTTTCCATCTAAAAATTTCTAAAAATTTCAACATTATGTCAATTTCTCAGATACGCGAAAGTATATAGGGTAATTTCATTAAAAATCTGTAGATGTGCACTCCCACACTGCCCCCTGACGGACGAATTAATTAACTATCCTTATTTCTAGGGCACCGTTGCACGATGCCGAGTTTGCGGAGGAAGTGGGCGACGCTTATAATGAGTTACGGGACCCCAATTTCTGCCAGCGCACCGTAGATTGTCCCTTCTCCATTCTACATTTCGTGCTGGCGTTGAACAAACAAAAATATTAAAGGACCCACGCCTGCCCGCTTTGTCTGCGGCTATAAGCACTTGTTTGTTATTTTAGAAGAAATGGTTAATTTTGAAGGAATAAAAATCGTTCTGTTTGTTAATTCGGCTTATAAATTAATTTCCATACTATATATCCAAGGACAGGAGGTAACACAAGTTTTCGCAATAAATGATGCATTTCTTTTTGTAAGCAATAAGTATTGTAGTCAAAATTTAGGTGTGTGCGTCACTGCTGGACAAAATCGTCCGCCATACAGCTCTTTATCCGTCATAAAACTTTATTATGTGAAGAAAAAATCATGACGAAACCTATATATTTTTTTTTATGTGAGAAGGAAATTAAATCACAAATTTACAGATTGTTGCGTGGGCATACTACAGTTGAATTAATAAAAAAAATACTTCGAATAGTTGTGAGGTCCGATCCACAGCGGATGTGTGGTGGGCTATGCCCTAACCCCGTACTGAGCAAAGCCCTCCTTTTTACTCTGGTATAGAGAGAGTCCTTGCTGAGCTATAGAGGAGAGGCTTTTGCTCAGCAGCGGGACATTTATAGGCTGTTACTATACGTTATTTTTTTTTGAAGTAAAACTTCTTTAGGCGCGACTAGGGAGTAACTCAGATTTTTCTGACGGAAGTAACGTCATAAGTATATGTCATATTTTAAAAATATGACATATACTTATGACGTTACTAAATATTTAATCATTTCAGTGATATAGGCCGTCAACGCCAAAGAAGTTTTACTTCAATCGCGCGTAAAGGTTACACGAACACCCTTTGTTTTACTCTAATTGAAATCTGATTTTTTTAGATAAATGATCAAACACTTTCGGCGCTACGGAGATCGAACTTGTATCTTCCGACTAACGCTATCCGCAGCTCCGAAACATTTCATTTATTTATCTACAAAGGGCATTGTCCACTTTGTATGGTGGTTTTGGCTTGGAGTGAACATTCAGTGAGAATAACAACGATGTGTAGAATTAATAGATTTATTCAAAAGGAATGAGCAAAATAATAAAGTTTTGTGTCCAGGTGTTTCTTAAATTAAAAAAAAAATATAAACAGCGCTTTGAAATATAATATCGAATTTAGTTTTCATATTTTTTTAGTAATCAGATTCATAAATTAATAAAATGATATATAAGAACCGGGCAGGTGGATTTACAGACTCTTGGACCTTGTCCAGCTCATGAACCAAATAAAGTATATTATATGGGCACAGCAACCCACTGTCCGTCGACCCACCATGCAGTTGCAAAAATATTGTTTTATACTACCTGTCTGTTATATTATTTTCATATAACATATAAATATAATATATTTTTCTGCTAATACACGACAACATACATTCACAATACCAAAGAGAATGTAATCACTACGTTTACCTATACAATACCTACGAATAAGGCAAATGACATTTGTCAAAATAACAGTCACAACTCCAACCAAAGTATTGCCTAATGTCGCCATAAAAATCGTAACCAATGAACAATTTTTTTATATGATTCTGGGATTTTGTTATCAAATACATTGGCAAATATTATCCAAATACATTGGTAATTGAAGTTGATCAAAATAATACAATATTAACTTTAATTCCTTATAAATATTTATGTATAAAAATGCAGTGTCACATGATTTCGTGACTTTGCACTTTCGATAAATTATTTTTACCACAAATAAAATCTAAGTTAATAAATGAGAATAATAATAATATTATTTTGATTGATTAAAAAGAATATTCATAGATGTGATTGAGATTTTTATACTGGCATGACTCGACATTTTAAAATATTACCTATATTTTAAAATGTCGACAAGACTTTGTGTATATAAATCAATATAAATACGCATTATTGGATGTTTTTATCAGTTTGAATCGATACAACCGAAAAATACAAATATTCATGTTTTATTCAGGGAGATTTTTTGGTATAATTGTTTTTATCTAAGAATTCTGTTCACGCGAAGCCAAAAATGGACAATGCCCTTTCACACTTGAATTTTAGTCTTGAGTGCAGAGCCTAGCATTGCAAATAAATATTAATACTAAATTTACTACATTTTTGGGTATGGAATTCTTTTTGTGAATGAACACTCAAAAACGTCTCAACTACATCCTTGGTTGACGTCTAGTAATTTTAAGAGAAGATTTTATTTCCCTTAATATTCATATATACACTATCTGTACTGAGTGTATCTTATGGGTGTAGTAGAAAATACACGAAATTGACGACTGCTTATGTCTCGATATAACATGTAAATGAAAAATCCAATACAGGTGTGCAAGGTTCGTGAAAAGTTTGACACTGCTACCGTACTCTGCCTACCCCTATAGGTAACAGACATTGTGGGTATAAAAACATTTGTAAACACAAACACACATCACAAAATAAATTTACTAAAGAACACCGCGGTTATAACACATAATGCTGCTAGTCAAGCTATAAACCTTACAGGGCTGTCACGGCGGCAAAGGGAATCAGAAATCTATCCCCGTATAATCCCGTAGGTGTCGTAAACGTCGACAAAGGGAATAAGTAAACAAGGGAATTGACAACGGCACACTCCCGCTAGCACAGATATCGTTCTGCGGTTGCCAATGCGCCCGTGCCAAGCGCGTCATAAAAGTAACTTTCGATATGAAGCCTCCTGCAGTGGACTTTGGAATACCGTACAACAGATTGGAAGGATCGGTTTATCTCATATTTGTATTTTCTCACCATTCGTTGTGGGTCGACGTTGAAAGGACTGTAAATATAACAGTTGCATAATTTATAATGCGTTTTAGTTTTTTACCTGTACAAATAAAGATTTTTTAATAAGAAATGGTTAATTAAATTAAGTATTATAGTCAATTATTTTCACCTAAGTGTCATAGTTAATTATTTTAGATTTTTTACCTCATTTTGAAATCAATTTAAAAAAATAAATAAATAGGAAATAAATGATTTCATATTAATTACAGTAGTATAGCCGTGATAGCTCAGTGTCCGGGCGCTCGTCTTTAAATCAATATACTCGAGCAACTTGAGTTCGATCCCCGGTGCCGGCACCAATAAAGTTTTTAACTTTAAGTGCTGATTTATCACGTGCTCCGCGGTGAAGGAAAACATCATGAGGAAACCTGCATATTTTCGAAATAATAATGAAAAAAAAAAATATATTTCGAAGATATGTGAAGTCCGCGCATAGTCCATCCGCAGTGGGGCCGCGTGGTGGACTATGCCCTGATACCCTCTGTATAGAGGAGGCCTTTGCCTTTTTCGACGCAAGGCGGACCACTGAGTAATCTTTCATTTGAGGTTCCTTCGAAAAATGGTTGGAAAAAATATACTAAAACTATTGAATGTATAAATAATATAATTTTGTAATAACAGAAACAATTAATTATAGTCAAATAAAAGAGCACATATATTGAGTCTTTGATTCATTATCTATTATTGTTAGAACCTATCATCTAAAGTTTAATTTATATTTACAGTTATCATTAGTTACAGATTAAAACAGATATAGTCTTCTTCAGGTGATTTGATTTTACAATTTCTATTCCTTTATTTTATTATGGCTTTCAATCGTTTTCAATTTATAATAATTGCATTTCAAAATATCATGTTGTAAATACTATTTGTTTTTAAGTTTGTTCTAAGTTAAGCCCATAAATCTGTGTGTTAGTGTAATGAGCAATTCAGCTGACAGTTACTAAAAGCTCAGTACATAGAGTGTGCGTATAAAATAAGGTGCGTGTAATATAAACGAACTTTCCTGTCCGATATTTTCAAAAAGATGCAAATTTTTGTAAAAAACGGCAAGGACTTTGTTAATTCTGTCTATCGTCTATTTGTCAACTTTGCACGGTTTTATTTTAATTATTTGTGCTGAAATTCAATATTTTCCTGTAAGAATTGGTTTTTTCATTCAATTATCAATTGGGTGTAGACCCCACTAGGTGGAGTGACGACCTGTGCAAATGTGCCCGAAGTCGATGGATGCAAGTGGCTCAGGATCTTACTTCGTGGCAGTCTGTAACATAGGTTACACTGAGGTGCTAACATGACCTATGTCATGTTCCGAAATGGACACAAACAGGCTGAAATGAAGATGATGATGAAGTGGGGTGTTAATGATATGGTGTAACAACTTCCAATGTATCAGCCACACAAATAAATGGAGTTTGGTCGTGTTTCTAATTTACGTAATAAACAAGCTTTTTTCATTTCTATAAATACAAAGAGGGTCTACAACTTGGCGTTATTAATATAAAATATCCTGAGACTATCCACTTGTGTAAATTTTTGACAAAAAAGGATTTTTTTACATGCCGGAATGAACATTCATTCAAAGTTTAGAATGAAGATGATGAGAATTACCTTTGTCTGTTAATATTTGCAATTTTTTTAAATGTTTTATGCTCTCGCGCTAGATGAAAACACTGTTTTAATCTTCTTCGAGCGAACGCAGAACATTTATTTCTCGATAATGACGAACAGGTACAAAACAATGACTCACAAGATAATGTTTTTTTTTAACAAGCTTTACCTGGCTGGAACAAATTAAGGTTTATGTAGGAATGAAGGCATATTGTTAGAAATAGTGAATAAATTTACGGAACGAATTTATTGTGACGAAATTGTTAAGGAGGAGGTATAAGGACATATTTCATGGAAGGCCACTACGACTTTAAACGGAGTGCGTTATCCGCAATGCGGTTCGTTGCCTGTAAGTTGTTATGGAGAGAGGGGTTTTCTATGGTTTAAATAATTCTATTCTATACCAAATATACACTTATTGAATTTTAGATATCATAAGAAGTCATATGCTCGGGACATGACACATTTGTTATCTTTTCTTTCTGGCTTGTTTTAAACAAAGTGTTATTACACGTATTTAAACAATATAAGGTCTTTAAAAGTGCTTAGATTAGCACTATAAAAATTAAAGTTTTATATATACAGTGTTTTACTAAGAAGTATACTTTTTATAACCTAAA